ATGCGCATGTAACAACTTTGAATCACGGGCGTGCTGTAAACACTGCCCTCAAAAGCATCTTAATACGGCAAAGAACGACGTGTGCCGAACGCCTTTTCCAAGTACACGCTCCTTCCATGAGTAATGATGTCCATCTACAGGCACGACGGAGTCTCTCTTGGGGTCAGCCATAGCGATATCCTTTCACAGATACTGTGGCCAGTAGCAACTTGACCGATTCAGTTGGTGTCCCAATGGATTGATGATTCTGTCCACTTCATCCGCCCTCCCAGCTTGTGCTACACCACTCCGTCAGAACTCAGTCCGGGTGGGACTTTATACAGTACTAGTCCAACGTGGCGCCCGGCAAAGTCATGCAAACCGACAACGGAACGCGCTGCAGAAAACTGTCTTCCCAGCGCGCGGCATGAAACGTCAAATGTTGTCTGTCATGGCATGGGGAGTCCTCCTTGTTGCATGCATTGTTGTGCTGAAGAAGTTCGCATGCTGTGGCATGCGGCATGCTGTGGCAATGCCGGCAAACTAAGGCCTCTAAGTTCTCATTGCGCCTCATTGGCTCAGCCACCTCAGCCTTTTCGGAAGATCCGGCTCGCTGCGGCTCCTTGTTTACTTAGGTAGCTGTTTCAGTTCAGCATTGCAGGTGTTGCGTAGGAAACATGATGCTCTGCCGCGGCCTTCCCATGATGGGAAAATGAGATCATTACTTCCTCATCACCGGCGATCTGCGGACGTGACTTTGGCGGCAGGCATTTCTCTTGCCGTGCTTCTCTTCCTCATGCGCTTTCCGCCCGTCCGTTCGTCCAGGACAAAGTCCCGCTGCACAAGCTGTGGGGTGACCACAGTGAGCCTTCCCTGAACCTTCGACGCAGGCAAAGAGCACTTGAGCAGGTGTTTTGAAGTTGTTGAGCACCATTTCTCTCAATAGGCCAGGCTTTGCAGTTGCGAAGACGAACGCATCTTTGACACGAGCTGCAAGAGTACCGCCATGTACCACCACCCGCGAATCTTCCACAACATTCAACAAGAGCCTGCATAACGCATGCTTGACCTCAGGTCTGCTGAGCGAGTAGTCCTTGGTAGCACATTCGAGCTTTGGGGACTTTGGTGAATGCGTGGGCGTGCTGCTCACATGCCCTACTTGGGCCCTGGCGCCATTTGCATCCACGTGATGGAAAATGTCCTTTGCAGGAGACAATCAAGGCCTTCAAGCCAAATCAAGGAGGACTGTGAAAAGACGATAGGGGTGTGATGAGCAAAAGCCGAAGTTCATGCCTACCCATCCGAGGAGCCGTGAAGGGAGCCCATCAATTTCTTAGAAAAATCAAGGCGGCAGGGCCCCACGTAACCTTTACCGATCTCTTCGAGAAGCAACCAAGATGCCTTTACTCACTTCCAAATATGTCAAGCATGATCTGACCATGGACCACCACTCAACGGATGTGCTTCTAACCTTGACCATATTCATCTAAAAATCTCTACGAACACGAACTGTCGAACAGAGACAAGCTCGACACCTCAGAAAGACTAAGCACCGACAAGCTCACTGAGGCTGTCATAACCCATGCTAGGAATGAAATGGAACAGCGACATCTAAGAACGCAGTGCACGCGCTGAAAGGTCTGCCAAGAACGAGCACGTTTCTTGGACGCGGTCTCGACTTTGAAAAGCATGAAGGTACATATAGGTACATGACGCTACATGTCCTCCAGCTTCACGCCTCTGTCGCTGCAGTATGTCGCAAATCGCGACAGCACCGATTTTCCCCATGCCCTGAGGCGTGCTGCGTGTGGCGGCACGATGCAGCACGAAGTTTAGAGAGCAAAGGACTGACGGTTGGGGCGCTTGCGGATCCTTGTTGAATGGATCATGCCTGGCCTCGGTCTGCAGACTTTCACACAGGATTACACATCAACTGACGTGAGAACTAGGCCACGAAAGCCAGGGGCGAGTACTTTCACACAATGCAGCTGCAGACTGCGGGGAGGTTCGATTGATTTCCGTTGTTTGCGCGGTTCCCTGAACCCGAGACATCGGTATCATCACAGTGTCACTGATTCTGCAGCTGACGCTGAGTCCCAAGACTTGTGATGCCGAGGTATGCTGAGAGGCAAAGAAAGCGGAGATTTTTTTAGACGAGCAGACCGGGGCACAAGTATTCTGTGTATTCTCCCATGGAATTCTGTTCTTGCGCAGCGGGTTTTGTTGACCTGACAGCTGCAGCTGCTCAGACGGCGCGGAGCCGACCCCACGCAGCGGCCTGTGCTGACATTTTTCGAGGCCCTGCCAGGCATTGCCAGTGCAGGGCGCTTCTGTTTTGCTGTGCATTCGCAGGCCTCGGCGCATGGGGGTGCGCAAGTTTCTCCAGTGTTGGGCGGACCATTCACGAGGCATGTTTTGTTCTTTTCGTTGCGGTTGCCAATCTTCAGATATGACAGTGTCTTTGCCGACCGGTCAATTACCATCGTGCGTTTTGCACAGTTTTGACGGCGGTTGGTTGCGGATCCGGTGTGGGGGGGTGGAGTGGGGAGGCGGGTTGGGGGGGTTTGATTGCGCCTTTGTTGTTGCAGCTTCCAACCATTCCTAACTTGAGCGCTCTGGCCACACGAACACTTCGGGCGCCATAGCTCCTGTTCACCCCATTCCTTTTGGGCCCTTCCCGAAACCTTGAGCCTTAGCCACACCTTTCGGGTACAGGGGGTGGGGTTGGGGGTGGGGTTGGGGGTGGGGGGGCGGGGTGGGGGGGCGGGGTGGGGGGGCGGGGTGGGGGGTCGGGGTGGGGGGCGAAACACCGGGCATTCTCTTGAGACTGGTACATGGCGGGGTTGATTCCTTTTGGAGTATCTTGAAGAAAGTATCCCAAACGCCTTGCGCAGTCACTCCAAAGGAGTGCCGAATCCCGATACCCCTCAAACTTGGCTGGCCGACCAGCACAGATCCCTTACCATCTCACCAAAGTCCCTGGAGCCTGCTGCCCCCGCCTTTCCCTGGTGCTTTGCATACGGCCAAGAAGAACCGTGGACCGCAAAGCATTCATGGCAGGGGTAAGCCCTATTCCCATTCCCATTAGCCCAAATTTTCGGATAATGCTTTGCGGGCAACAGTGTTTTTCATTGAAGTGGCGCACGCAAACAGAATCACACCAAAAAACACAAACAGTGGGGCTAACTGAAGAACCACGTTTTTGCAACGTGAAACCACGAAACATCGAGATACGCAGTGTTTTCGGCCTGCGAGCCACCTTCAAAATAAGACACGTAAAAAAGGCAAGCGCGATCGCCGAAAGTACCACGCCTGCCATGGTTTCCACAAAACTACCTCTGAAACTTGCACTTTGCTTTTAGACTAAAACACGTTCAAAATCGTGCTCCCGCTAAGGCCAAGCGCTTATTTAAAAAAAAGAAAAACGCACGACGGTTAACGCCCCGTGCGGTTGTTTTTGCTGGTCGCAGGGCCCAGGAAGCACTCACTCACCTGATCGAACATAGCGCAGCTCGCACCCGCCGACACCAAACCACCAAGGCACGTGCGCGGGCAAAAGTGCGGTATGTTGCCTGCAAGCACGGACAGTCAATACACTGGTCACTTCCCTAAATTACAGCAATTGCGATCCTTTTGTGGTTACCCGACTGGTACCCGAAACAATGCGGTGCGTCTGTGAACAAGCCTTCATCTTGGCTTCGCTGAAGAACTTGTATTTCTTCTCCCACGACCTTGAATGCTGCATATGCTGATCGGTACCGTATGCTGCCCGGCACGTGCGAGCATGCCCAACACAAGGCAACACATTCCCTGAAGTGGTCTCTCGCACTGTCGCGCGCACTGTGCGCTGGAGTTCCCATCCGGCATTCTGCACTTTGGGAGCGGCGCCGTTCCTGCTGCGGGTCGTAAACACGCTCCGCATCCCTGCAGGAGGAGAGCAGAGGGGCATGGGCAGAAACAGACCAATAACAGTGACAAAGGAGCGACCCCCCCTTTCACCACTTTCGATCCGCGAACTCTGGTGGTTTCTGCTCACATTTATACAGTAATGTTGGCAGCCGATAAATGCACAGTGCCAGACGAATGGTTGCTTGGATGCCGCACGCAATGGAGATAGATGAGCTCCCATGGAAACGAAAGTTTCGTTGTGCCTACTACTAGCAGTGCCTACAGCTTGACCCCGAGCTTGGAACCTCAGCAGCTCTTGCGCCAGGCGCCCTCGCCGCAGGTAGCTTGGATCCTAGGCTCCAGAGCATGAGGTGTTCGTCTCGGCATGTTAGGAGTGCTGATACCCGTTTCGACTCTGGAAGTCCTGTTCGGCCAGTGCTTTCAATCGGTCCGGCGGCGCCTCTCACACACACTTTTTGAGCAAGTTTGATACCATTATACACATGCTTGCGACGGCTGGTGGCACAGAAATAGCTGCCTGATTCATCTGCTCTGATGAAATCAATGTTGACCGCAATAGGTCAAACACATGTCCCAAGAATGGGCTGCAGTGCTGAACGAAATGTATAATGACTGGCATGCTTTCAGTGTGCTGTCCCCATGCTACTATGCTATCGCCACTGTTACATCAGAAAACATACGACATATGTCATATACATTCAGATACTCTATGGTTTTGGGCAGGTTGATGCGCTGATTTGATGATTTGCTCTCCCTTGCTTGCACTTGCAAGTGCTCACATCCTTGAGCCGACGTCCAAACTTCCTGACCAAAAGGCGAAGAACCTGTGTGCAAAAAGGAAGCCCTCAAAGAACGAAGATCTTTCAACAATCACAGCTCTCTTCACTGCGCTTTCCTGCGCTTTCGCTGAGCTTTCACTGCGCTCCCCTGATCTCCCCTCTGTCTTTCAAGTAGAAGCAGAAGCCTGAATTCCTTGGAGTCGCCAGTGCGGTCTGAGTGCTTATGTGCCGGGAGCAAGATCGAAGAGTCGCTGCTACTCGGATTCGTGCGTGAGCAAGATCCATCCCTCTCAAACCCTGAAAAGTCTGCCCCCAATGCCCGCACATGTGCGATCATGTCCGCACGACTTTTTGCGGCATGGCTGCGGTTTCAAAGGTCTCCGCCTTCGGCGAAACCCTCTCTGTCAGCCTGGCAAAAAAGCCCAAGAACTGAAAAACGGAATCTTCTGAAGGGAGTTGGGGCGACAGCAGCTGGGATCAGCTTAGAGGCCTCGCAAGACGATGCCTCAAGCGCTCCAAGGCATCGGCCTTTGGAGATGGGCAAAAAAAGTGGGAAATGCAAAAACTGCAGTGCCAGAAGCTGCAAGATGGTCGCAAGCTCTGACTTTTGGGTCCGCACAGGAGCCACAGCAGTGGCTACCTTTGCCGGCATGAACACGTTGAACGCGGCATTTCATGGCTCAGAAAAGAAGCACAGCAGCTGGCATGGCTGATGGCCCTAGCAGAGCCCGTCCACATGGTGCTCGAACGGAGACCGGGAACTCCGAGCGAACTCCACGCGAAGTCCGAGTTTGAGAACTCTTTTGCCTTTTGGCTCTCTCTTGGGGCGTCGGCTTCCAGCATATGCAAGGCCGATGATACCTCGGCGCAGGTGCCCCGAGAGTCTGGCAATGTCTGACTTTTTCAGCCATTGAAAGCCTACATTGGCCTACATGTCTCCGCAACCCTTTGCGGCTCAACGGCCTGTGTTGGCGTGGCTTCTGCTGCATTCAGTTCCAAGTACTCAACTGCCTGCGAAGACATGACGGAGAAAGAATCGGAGTGGCAGTCTGCCGGCTAATGCCGATGCACAGGACGATCTAAGATTGACAACTCTGACCCTTTGGGAAAGCTGACTCGGGTTGACACATGTTAACGTTGCATTACTCGGCGGCAGCGTCGAGACGCACAAACTTTGGCATGGGCCCAAGCAAGGGCCAAGTACTTTTTAAAGCGGGGGTGGAGGGTTGGTTGGTTTGTGCCGGCTCGGCAGCTCCAAATACTGAAACTTACAGCCTTGGACCACCAAGCACAGAAACTTGGAACTCGCCTCGGCTTCCAGCCGAGTGAGAGGCGTCTAGAACAAGCCTCCTTCCCAACCCTTCCCCAGAGGCAGCACCCAAAAATGCAAGAAAAGCTCTCAGACCCCCCCACTTTCTCTTGAACCTCCCTTTACTTTGAACCCAAGACCCTCCCCCTGAAATTCGCCTCGGGATCCTGCCGAGAAGCGTCTGGAACAAGCAGACCCGGATCGGGCCTCCTTCCCCCTAACCCAACCCTTCCCCCCATGCAAAATTTTCTGACGCCACCCTCCCCCCCCCCCGCGCCCTGGGTCCCAATCGCTGCAAACAGATGCCGTGGAGGGTCCCGCCTGTCGCTCCCCACCCCCCCCCCCACCCCCCCGCCCCCCCCCACCCCCCCCCCCACCCCCCCCCCCACCCCCCCCCCCACCCCCTCCCCGCTTTGACCTCGCTGCCCTTCCTCCCCTTTTTTTGCGAAACCCTCTTTCCTCCTTTCCTGTCCTGACCGGCCCGGCTGCCGAGGCGGCGCGCGCAAGCGTTTACAATTAGTTTACTTCGAACAGCCCCACCCTCTCTTGGTAGAGATACCTGGTTGGGCACTGTAGGTTGGGCACTCCAGGGAGACTCTGGGGCTGGGCACTCTAGGGTTGGGCAATTCAGGGAGACTCGGGGTCGGGCACTCCAAGGACACTCTAGAGTTGAGCACTCAGGGACACTTTGGGGTTGGGCACTCCAGGAATGAGCGAGGAGTAGACCGGGCGGTTCCGGGCGAGGAGAAGAGTTCCGGGCGAGCAGAAGAGTTGAGGTTAACCCCCATACCGAGACCGAGGGTGGGGAACAAACCTCATGAGCCTGCCAGACCTGCGAAAGTTTTTTTGAATTTCTTGGGCCTTGGTACGTGGGCTGGAGTCCTCATCGCCTTGTGTTTTTCCCTCTTTGGTCTCGACCTTATGGGTGGCTCCTTCAGGGCTCTGGGCAGCAAAGGAGCCGGAATTTGTTCACCTTCTCTGACAATCCTATTGCTGGCCTCATGGTGAGCATCCTGGCTACCGTCCCGGTGCAATCCTCATCAACAATCAACAAGTATGGTTGTTGAGGCGGCGTGGGCAAGCGTTTACAATTACCGTAGTTTTCTGAGAAACTGCTCCACTCTTTACAAAAAGCAGTTTTCGCTTTTTCGGGTCGACAGCTACAATGCTACAAAAGCCGTCAATGTTTCAATCACACCATGAAGCATGATCACACGTCTTTGCAACAAGTTGCGTTGTTGGCTGTTGCAGAACAACGACACTTTCATCGATCAATCTCAAAACAAGGTCAAGCCGGGAACGACAGCATGTAATGCACGCAATACCCTTTTGGATACAGGGTTTTGCATGCTCAACACTGCTTCAAGTACCACTAATCCTGCCAAATCTGGGAATGCTGTCCAGGCCTGAGGATGCGTGAAAACCCCCTATCCCGGAAGATATCCCTGAATTACGTTATCGCTCTTGTTTACTCTTCTCGTTTTCTCGATGTTTAGCCTTATTCTGAACGTGTTTTTACTCTTAAAGTCTTTACTTTTCAATACCGGGGGATTTTATCATCCCTCAGGTATTGTCTCCACTGGTGTTGCCCCCCACGCTCCACTTCCCGCTGTGACATACCGTCAGTTCCCCAGGGCCCCACTCGTTTCTTCATTATCGCTCTCCTCTTCCAGTTCACCGGGCGCCAGGGAACAAGACATGTTTTGAAATTGCCAAAGCTGCCACGGCATGTGCTTTGTCAAAATCATGGAAACGGCATGCAATGTCATGAGCGCGACTGCATGCATCTAGGGGGGGGGGGGGCCTCTGAGAGAGAGAGAAGCATTCGGGAAGCTCTCAAGCAAGGAGAAACACATTAGCGAGACTGCTGGGGATGCTGTCGACCGTGCCAGCAAACTTAATTGGTCACGAAAATCGGTCCTCGCATTTTGCAGCCAGCTCGATCTTGCTGGCTCTGAGTACGTACTGTGGAGATCTTAAACGAGATTAGGCAGTTTCAAAGTGTTGAAGTTTGCAAAAGCTCAGTGACCTCACGACCTGGCATCTGCGATATCTGGATAGGAAAGGCTTGTGACCACCTCCTCATGGAACGGGTCTTACGGAACATATCCTCGACGACCCCGATAGTGTTGGGTAGTGCTTCACGCGGGCCACTTGCCGTCCCGACGCTGCCTGCCTCAAACAACATCACCTCGCGCCGCAGCTCCGCAGCCCGTTCATGGTGGTCCTACGACTTGCTCAACAGGCCCTCATTGCACGACCCTTGCAGACACTCAACAGTGCAAGCAGGCCACATTACTCTGTGAACGTACCGTGTTGCCAAGCATGCAAGTATAAAGAGATCGTAAGCATGTAGCCAGACCTTCCTTCAATCAGAACGAAATCATTTCTCTTTGTTCTAGGGCATAAGGGGGAATGTGCAGCGAGAAAGTGGAAATGGCCTAAGCCTAAGCAAACTCACGAGTGTAATGAGTGTAATGGCGACTCAAATGTGGAGGGCAGCATGGGCAGCGTAGACGCTCCAGACAAGTCTGCTTGCATGAACAAGCAGCTCAACTGCCTTCACCCATCTTCACTCCATTGCCGGTCACCGCAAGCGAAGAGAACAACTCTCTCACACTCTTGAGACCGGCCCATGGGCCTGAGTCGCCTGCGTCTTTCTTTCCTTAAGTAGATGCAACATGGGCGGTTCAGTGGAAACGTCGACAGGCCTGAGAATGTGGGCACTGAGTGCATGGCTAGCAACTTGCCGCACTCGTTCAGAAGGTGCGCCCTGTGACTATTCTTTCATTGGTACTCGTTTCATGGAGTTTTAACTGCACACTCCTAGCACCCTTGGCCCGTGTAAGTCCCTTGCGTCGTTTTCACCAGGCTTTCCTTTCACATGTGCCAAGTAGCTCAAGTAGCTCAAGTGGCACCATGGCGCTTCTGTGGCCCAGCTGTGGCCTCACTCTTCGGCCAGTCCGCAGCTGCCACCGCCGCAGTGCACAGGGCTTGCGGAAGCCGAAGCCTTCTCAGTAGAACGCTGCAACATGCTGAATAACTTCTGTATGACTTCTGCTTCTGCGTGTACTTCTGTATAACTTCTGTATAACTTCTGCATGACTTCTGTATAACTTCTGTGTAGAGCTATAGAACGCTGTAACGCTACGCCCAAACTCTAGTCTTGTCCCATGTCTTTTCCGGTCGCACATTGGGGCCCGAGCTGCATCGCCTCAAGAACCTTCTCAACGCGATTCAAGGCATCAAGAGCCGAATGCTGAACGGAGGAAAGCAAGACTGCCAAAACTGCAGCTGCAGCGCAATGGCCTCGTTCTGCAGTCGTAGACGCAAGTGCGGGTCCAAAGGAACCAGCATCTGTCGGCTGGCGTCCCAGGCAAGCTCGCGAGCCTGAAGCGCACTGAAGCGCCAGATGGAAGTTGAACCGAAGTTTCAAAGTGTCACCTCCGACCGGCTTTGGTAGTCCTGCTGGATCGGGCAACTTTGAAAGCAACTGCGGCTGACAACTGCGGCTGACAAAGCCATGATGCACCTCCAAGTTCTCTGTCAAACACCGGATCACCTCCAAGAAGACCTGCGATGGCTGCGTCCTGAGACTCACCCTACACACATCCTAGCACACCTTCTCCGAACACAGCCAAGAATGAATCGAACACCGCAGACTGGCCCCCCAAAAAAAACGGATGCACGCGATGCAGACTTTGAACATGTTCGAGCGGGCTCCCAGAGGGACTCGTTCAGGCAACAGCATTGGTTCATCCAAAAAGCTACCACCCACCCTCCCACCCACACTATATCACACTATCTACCCAGGATGTCCCGAAACTGGCGCTATGGCGTTTCTTGTCACTTGCACCGAAAGCAATACATGCAAGAAGGTCATGAAGGATAAAGAAAGATAGCTACTGGGACATTCGCGCACGAGGCACCTCCGATGCTCTTGGCTGCCTTTCACGATTTGAAAGTATGTGAAACAGCATTCCATGCAAAGTGCAATGCATTCAAGCATGTCGGGCCCTCAGGCCATCAACCCGAGATTCATCAAATCTAGTGCTCCACACACAACATTCCACTAGCTTAACGAAGAGCAACTGGTAACTAGCAGTCCTCCTCGCACATACAATTTTGAACCATCAATGTGGGCCACTGTAGGCCCAATGGAGGCCATATGTGCATAAAGAAATTCTGGCGAGGAGATTAAGCCCTATCATGTTGTGTGGATAACTGCCGATCCCCGTGCAACACCTGACATTTTTGCGGAAGCAGATATTCACCCGCTGATCTCACCACTCTGCAGATCCTCTCCGAATGCAGATCCTCTCCGAAGCGTACGATAATGTACGACATGCACTTCAAAACTCGCTTAGCTTCATATGGAAGACCTGTGATACAGCCGTCTCTCTTTTATGGAGACTCCCTGGCGTAACAGTGTTGACCTCTGATCGAATTTTTGAAGTTTCTTGAAAGCAGTGATGGCCACGCCGATTCCTTCTGAGGGCGCAAAGATGCGTCAAGCTCAGGGCGGCAATGGGGACTGAAAGGAAAGAACCCGAGGCCTGAAGGACCTCAAACAGAAAGGAGAAGGAGGGGCCGCCCAAAAGGCATGGAAGCTGACAGGAAAGAACCGGAGGCGCGAAGGAACACCCCCTGAACGAAGGAGGACCCGGCCAAATTGCAAAACCTGACAACCGATCACGAATCTGCCCGAGCTCTGACTGGCTGCCTCTGGGCCTCTGGGCTCTGTCTCAAAACAGCTTCGGGCATTCTCCATTTGGTGGAGTTCACAATCCCCTAGAAGAGATGCATGGTGCTGTTGCGGATATGGCGACTGAGTTCTGCAAACTTGCGGAGTTGTAAAACGTGCGCAGACGTGATCAAACAGGACATGTTCATTGAAACTCTGCTGATATGCTTGTTGGCTGAATCGATGTTAACACGGGGGTTTAGGGTTTAGCGTTGAGGGCTGAGGGTGTTAGAGGGTGTAGGGGGTGTAGGTTGAGGGTTGTAAATGAAGACTCCCAACCTTCAACTCGGAGCGTCAAAAGTGATGAAGTGGTGGCTTAACAACTTCGGCATGAAGATTGAAGATTGAAGAATGACTCCTTGGAAGTCTTTCTAGCGATCATCAATCTCCAACCCAGAGGTGGTTAATGTTCAACGCTTTAATTCAGACACAATGAGCATTCCTACAGCGAGTCTCCAACGAATCTTCGATGATGAAGTTTCGCCTTTTAACGCTGGGGGTTCCACATTGAAACTTTCTGCAAGGAGCTTCCTAGCACAATCTTCAAGCCAGAGTGTCCGCACACAAGCTTGGAAAAAAAAACTGAGAACTGGAGCACTCTGCCATCCTAAACAAACTACAGTTGGCGACCGGGAACTGTAGCACCAGGTTGACGAAAAATCACACAGCAGTCCGAAGTCAACTCCCACAAACTCTGCTTTCGGAAGAAGCCTGGTTCATGCACCGTGTTGTTAAAATCAAAACTCCATCTCTTTTCACTAGATGCCAGCCTTGCCAATGACATGCTGGCCGATAACGGGATAAGTTCAATTGATTTCGGAGATGTCTGTGGAACATGCTTGAAGCACGGCGAGACTCCCAGACCAAGCTGAGCCTTGAAACTTCGATAAACTTCGTCCTTCTGCGGAGGTAGTGCAGGCAGCGCTCGGCAGCCTAGAGCTCAACACACCAGGGCCGAAAGACCGAAACGCATTTTAACGGCGCAGGGTTTTTGCAAACAGCGCCTCGTATTCGAAATGCAGGGCCACCTCCTGGTGAAAGAGCTCCTGCACCTCAAAATTCGACGAAAAAAAACCCGCTTCTGGGGAGTCTTTTGTCAAAATTCAAAAGCGCCTTGCTGTGAAAAGTGCCGTCCAGCTTGGCCTCCTCATCTTCTGCGCCAAGGAAGCGTTCCTCTGCTTCGTTCGATGGATCGTCAATGATCGTCATGACCAGTGCTCGACGAAGCTCATCAGTTCAAAAGAAGGAAATAACCTATACGTCTTCTTGTGATTGTTCTAAGAACTTTGCATAAACTCTGTCTGCCATTGTTTTCCACTGTTGCTCATGCCGACCCAGGACAAACCTTGCGTCGGCCAGGTTTCCTTTTCACCGCAATCCATCCCTTGAGTCGGGGCTGGGGGCTGGGGCTCCTATTATTGGAAGTGGCCTTCATTAAGTGTTGTCAACTGTAGGTTGCTGAGGCTGCATCAAGCAGGTGAGCCCACCTCGGCCCCACAAAATCTGTTTCTGCATGACTGCAAGGTGATGCAACACCCAGCGAGGCTTCCAACCACTTAGCTTGTGGCTGAGCATTGAGCAATGTGCCCCGACCTCGCACACACGCCTTAGATGTGCTTCGTTCTGAACAACATCCGTCTCGCAATGTGCTGGACTTCTTATGGAACCTCGATGGTTGTTATTTTTCTTTGTGGCATACACATGGTCCACGAGCGCTGCTTGACTTGCCAAAGCTACATGGAACATGTGTGTAGTCACGAGGCAACCGGTACCAACATCCGGTTCCAAACTCACTGCCATCCTGCAATCGGCAAAACACTACGCCGAGCAATCGGCTTGAGTGATGACGCCCGCGGCCAGCAGCCTGACAGCCGCGCTGCATCTCGGAGATGTTTTGGCTCGACATCGACAAACCAAAATCAGAGCCGCAAAGAGCCCCCTATTGGCCACATCACGTTTCGGAGCAACCGTCTCTTTTTCGATGTACCGCATCAGTTTTTGACTAAATCTCTTTCGTTTCTCACAACTCACCATGCGTGGAGTATGCTCCAGCCACGGGCTTCTGTGATGCATGGGCCAAGAATATTGTTGGGGTGCTTCCCTTCTGGATAGGGGTCAGACCACATTGGGGATGAAGCAGAATATGAAGCCCGACCTTTAAGCGGATACTTTGTCGAGGCATTCGAGGCAGAGTGCCAGTGATGCAAAGAAAGCTTGTAATTCGCCTCCGCCCTGGCGATCTTTCGAGGTGCCTATGGCTAACCCCTAGACCAAAGACCCTGAGGACCCCCCCTGCCCTGAACTCTTCCAGTCCGACCCCACACACATACACACACCCTGCAGGCAAACCTTCAACCGGCTTCCTAAATTTTCAGGGGCAGATCTTTGCCGTACGAAGTGGCCTGTGCATGCACAGGGACACCTGCCGCTGCCTGAGCTTCTGCGCGAGCAACATCTTTTCATGTTGGCCATGGCCGCGTTATCGAGGCTTCGACAGCTCCAGATCGGAGGGATCGCTGTCACAAAGATGAAGGAGCTCGTCCACCACTTGCCAAGGCTGGCCTTGACAGCTTTTGACAGCTTTTGACAGCTTTTGACAGCTTTTGACAGCTTTTGACAGCTTCTAGATGCCAGCAGCTAGTTGCTGCTAGTAGCAGCAGCATCCAGCAGCAACATCTGGGCATCACGCAGATGGAATTCTCACACAGCCTACGAGACAGGGCTAAGCGCAGACTTCAGATGTCAGGATGGAACAGAATGAACTAAGTAATGTGCTAATGAAGCGTGGAGTTTGCAGAGTCATTGAGCGGGAGCGCCTCTGCAACGCATCACACAGCATGGGCAGGGCCTCGAGCCAAGTCTGGCAAAGTAGTTGGAATGCGGCGTGTGTTTGGCCGCTATCAATCGTCCCTTTTTTTGTGTGATTTAGCTTGGTATTTGCGACAGTTCCTTCACTTTTCCTAGAACGTGATTTTGACCTGCATTTTACACTCCTGATTTCTTGACTCTGACTCTACGTGTCCGTTTCCCTGGGATTTTGCACGTTTCGCACTTGCTTTCCTTTTCGGGTGTGGTTTTTGCATTTTATGGTGTTGGTCAGTTTTCGTGGTTTTGCCGTTCGACTTTGTGTTTTCCCGACCTCTACTTCTTCGGTTTGTGCTTTGTTGCAAGGCTTTTGGCGTTTCGTGTCTCAGGTTGGTTGGCTTGTGCTTTGTGGACGGGCCTTGAAGTGCCCAATTTTTGTTGTGACTTTTAGTGGGCGGAGAAGGGAGGGGGGAGGGGGGAGGGCGGGGATAATAACGTTCATGTCGTCAATCTCCAGCAGCCCAAACCCGAAACCCAGACAGTGCAAGCCCAAAACCTCAAAACATCTTCCAAAACACCTCAAAACAGCTTCCCCCAAATCCTGCAGCAGTGCAAGCCCAAAGCCCTGTTTCCCCCTTAAGCCGAACTCTCCCAAACCCCAGACCCAGACCGTGCAAGCGCAAAGCCTTGTTCCGCCTTAAGCCGAACTCTCCAAATTCCCAAACCCAGACAGTGCAAGCCCAAAACCTCAAAACACCTTCCCCAAAACCCTACAGCAGTGCAAGGCTAAATCGGGACTAAGGGTTGTCGCGTCTTTAGGGTTTCGATTGTAGGGTCTTGAAAACAGACCCCCACAACACAACACAGTGCAAGCCCAAACCCTGAACAAGTCTTCTCCAACAAAAACTCAACACTCAATAACTCAAAACAAACTAACTTCTCTTCACACAAGTAGTTTCCGGAAGCCTCAAAAACATCAATGAGCTGAAAAATCGAGTTTTGGACCACAAACATGCCCGGTAATCCGCGGCCGAATACACGCCGCAAACCTAGTTGGAATGGGTCACCAAATATGATCGCTGTAGATGCTTACCACATCCGAGCCACGACATCTGGGATCATGAGGGAAGCCACAATGCACTTCACCTGAAGTGCGTGCTTCGAAACCAGTGATGTGTTTTGACTTTTAAAACAGCCAGGTCCATGGCCATCGCGCCCTCGCGCCCTCCTTGCGCCAGTCGCGCAAAGGCCTGGCCCCATGGAAATGCACTGAAACTGACAAGTCGTGCAATGTTGTGGAGCTGGCCTCGCACATCAGGCCCTGCAGCTTGGAGTCCCGTGGATGGGACAAGGCAGCCTCACAGCGTTCACAGATGTTCACAGCGACACAGCTCTGAGGCTCTGCGACAAAGCAGTCAAAGCAGCAACAGCCAGCAACAGCAACGGCTCTCCTCGAGCACCACAGGAAGTGCCAATGGAGCGATCAAGGTTGCCACATCTTGTACATAGGCCACGCCTCACCATGGATTGTGCACCGCATGCCCATGCGTGCCTTGTCTTTGAAACCGAGAGTCGCGCTGCTGAGCGCGGCAATTGCCATTCGTTGCACGTTGAGGCTGTGACGCCTTGCATCTCGCAGACAGTTGGACAGTGGAAGTAACTTGGCCAGCGGTCTCGGTCCCAGACATCGACGCAGCTGAAATCGCGATGGCCGACACGGCCCCCAAGCACAGTGGTCGCAATTTGCACACATCCTTCACTGGGTGGCACTTCCGTGCTGCATGTACCGCTCGGACCCCCTTGTGAAGATGTACATTGTTTGGTGCCTTTGCCAATCGATTGACAGCCTGTAAACAAGCACGCTGCATGCCTCGGCAAACGAATACAAACTGCATGGACTGTATCCAACACGCAAGAACCAGGCTAATCAGTTTATGTTCAGAGTCAACCAAGGGGCGCTCGTCATCTGGCGTGGAATGCATGACTTGAAGCACCTTGCGGCATGACAGAAGGGGCTCTTGCATCTCGCTTAAGCCCCCCAACAACACAGCAAAAATTGCAGGAACATACTGCACAAAAACAACATGCGCCATTCCTACGTCGTAGTTGGGCCACGCTTGTCCCGAGGCTGGCACCACAGCAAGATCTGAGAGCTCGTCGGTATTTACTGGTGAAACTGATGACGACAAACCTGAAGGCGAAGAAGACAGCTGGGCTTTGCGGGCCCAATGGACGTCAGGAGCATCAGATGTTGAAAGTCCCTGCGGAAGACCAGAGGATGCTTGATGGTGATCGCTGGGGAGTTTCGCTGCCATCCAGTGTGATTGTTCCCACCGGTTTTTCCCAGGCTGCAGCGCCGCTGAAGCATTCCCGTGGTTCCATGGCTCAAGAATGGCTCTGCGAAGCTGCGCGTAAAGCTACAGGAAGCTCATGTCAAGCCGCGCAGACACCCGCAAAAATCATAAGTCGCTGTTGTGACATATCTCGTGTAGACTTCGAAGTGTCTGCATTCTTTGGGAATGCCCAGCACGACATGCACCCTATGTTCAATCATGATCTATCATGAAGCTAAGAGCAGGGGTACCTCACAGTGATCGTGCAGCACGCATCAGCACGCTTCCGCTTTCTCCTCCTTGGGTTCTATGCCTTGGCAGTGCGGACCCCGTCACTTCCTGGCGTGGGCCCTGCTTTGCGGCATGGCCCCTGGGGCCCCGCCGTCCCTCCCTTAGGCCCCAAGAAGCCTCAAAACGTAGGGGGAAGGGGGGCAGCTTTTGGAACCCGCGCTGATTGAACTCAGGGACGATTCTTTTTGGGCTCAGACTAACCGGACCATCGGACGTTATAGACCTTTTTCGGCCCCCCACCCCGAACGGACCGGAAAGTGTCCCAGGTCGTTCTCCTGCAGCACAGTGGGTTTTGGGGGCATTTGGTTGGATTAGCCCTGACCCTGCGGGGACCTTTCTGAGGATACCTAAACCCCTGGTTGTCTGCGAATTGCTGGGGTGGGGACCCGCAAGCGATGATGTAAAAACTCCACCACTGTCCCCACCCCCATCCTTGGCTGTCCCCGAAGTCTTTCAGTTAAAAAGAATGTGCCAAGATAAAGATTTGCCTGCTCCTGGAAGGTTTTCTCTGGTAGTTTTCAAACCTGTTCCGACGCCGCTCGGCGCGAGCCCACCCGGGTGGCGGAATGCGCCGCCGACCCCCAGGAGCCGGGTCCAGACACGCCCCCGGCAGGCGTGAGCACCATCGAGCCAAGAGCATCGATGATGCACATCTCTAGGGCATCACTGGGACCAAACGAGTGCATCATCCCGAACGCATGAAAAAAAAACATGTTTGTGCGGTGTCCTTTTGCTGCATCCTCCAACCGGCTGGAGAGGGCGCACACGTGCCGTGAGCACATCCGCAAAATATCTTGTTCTTGTTATTGTTCCTGCTATTCTTCTTGCTAACAGTATTAATTATTCTTGCTCTTCTTCTTGCTACAATTCTTGTTATTCTTGTCGTTTTTTGCCGTTGTGCTTCTTGATGTTGGTGGTGGTGTTGATGCTGATGCTGATGTCGATGTCGATGTCGATGCTGGTGTTGTTGTTATGCTTCTTCATTTTCTTATTCTTATTATTCTTCTTTTTCTTCTTATTCTTATTCTTCTTATTCTTATTCTTCTTATGCTTCTTCTTTTCCTTCTTCTTCTTATTCTGCTTATTCTTCTTATTCTTCTTCTGTTCCTTCTTTTTCTTCTTATTCTTCTTCTTCTTTTTCTTCTTCTTCTTCTTCTTCTTCTTCTTCTTCTTCTTCTTCTTCTTCTTCTTGCTGCTGATGTTGTTGCTGATGTTGCTGCCTCAACCCCGCCCCCCCCCCCCGCCCCCTCCCAGCCAGAAATTTCGACAAACAAACGAACCCTCCACCTTGCGGCCCATACCTTAGTTCCTGTCGCTCTGGGGCGTGGCCGACAGGTCCGTGGTCCAACGCTGCAGGCGCAGGCCCTAAAGCTGTTTCCCAGGTGGCTGCATAATAAGTATGCCACCAAGGCACAAAAAGTAGCTACTGATAGTGTCTAGCCGCGAGACGATATGCAAAATGGTCCTTATATGTCGTTATGCTTGGTTCCAAGATTGGCGGCTCGACTTGACCCGGTACTGTAGTCGGCAGGACAGCAGAAACATGGATAAGCAACTGCCATGTACTGCCTGGAACGTTTTACGTCAACTGATGCTATCCGCGCGGTACAAGGACTGCACGGCTCATGCGGACGAGACGAACCCGTCTGCAGCTGCAAAAGCTAAAACTATTCAATAGTTCTGGTCTGCAGCATCCATGACACATCAAGGTGCGCCATGGCCTTAAAAGTGGCTCAGAAGCTGTGTTGTGGAGGCGTGGAGGCTATGGACAAAGGACAGGAGAATTTGACTCCCATCAGGACTCAGGGTGAAGCTATATCTAGTCTCCGCGCAATCCGAGAGGTAAGCGAAACCATGATCACAACAATACAAAATACTGCTGAAAGCAACTTGAATGGATCTTGCAGGGTGTTGCACATTGTGCGACCATACATATCTGTTGCGCTCTTTGCTGGCCGAAGCAGCAGTTGCTTGCTGCAGCTGCTCTGGAATCAACAGCAAAGACGATTGATTCGGAAGCAAAAGACAATGAAGCAAAACACATGCATGCCCGCAGCCTCTCGCAGCGGTCACCAGTGTTTGCGGTTGCAAGACGGTCCTGTTCGTCTCTGTACATCAAGACTGCTGGGAAATTGGCAAGGTGCTGGCTCCACCGCTCCACCTGTCAAAGTCGTGAAAGACGTGAGGAAGTAGGCCCAGTAGGCCAGGACGTACATGAAAACGTACGATATGGCCCGACGTCCCATGAAATACGCGGGCAATATCTGGCCTGCACTAGGACAGATTGACCAAGGCTTGGATCTCGGCCTTGGCATTCAGGAAACACTCGATCCAACATCAACGAGGCATGCGAAATCAGGGAGCACCTCCAGCTTCAAGAGAAAGTCAAGTGCCTCCGGTGAAGCTACGTTGGGATCCCAAATCTGAGCACCACATGTACCAAGCACATTAAGATCATACAGAGACATTACGAACTATCTCGTTGCACTCGAGGGAAGTGACCTCGCGGGGCGTTGGCCTCGAAACAACGACTTCCACAAGCCAGGTCGGTAAACCTCAATGCGCTCTCCATGCGTTGAATGGTGTCAGCTCGTCAGCTCAACTCGGCTCATGAGTTCGAGAGCCACGCCATCTTGTGGTCCGACGACCTCCTCCCCTTCTCTAACGTGGCAATTGTGCCTTAGACAGCCAAGTGGAAGTGCTCTCCATCGCTGGGACAATGGGGTCACGAATCGTATTTCGCACATGTCGAAAACTCGCGGACATGGCGGGAATGTCTCTGGAATACCACTTTACACAAGGCCCACATGTCGACCCTCCACATCAAGCACAATGCTTTCCTCTTCCTCAGGTTAAGCCGGTTAAGCGATCCTAGCTCACAGCACTCTTTGCTGCCGACAGCGAGTGCATGCTTGCGTGTGCGTTTTGGCTTCTGGTGCGTACGCGCTGACATGCACGCGGTCCTGCATGCACGTGTGCGTGTCATCTTTCATCGAGCGTGAGTGTTAGAAGAAGTGGCAAACACTCACTGTGCGCCTCCGCCAAAGGAAAAACTGATCCCTCTGGCATACAGATACAGAATCAGGGTTGAAGTTCGGTCGGTCTATCATGTATTGAGACATGGACAGTGTCGTCGCAGTAAGCTCTGCACGACACAACGCCATCACGATTGAGCAGGGGCTGCATGAAGCTGAGGTCTGCTAGCCTGCACAACCACAGGGCTGCTCGCAGGCTGCCGATGCATAATCTTCTACCAAACACAAAAACATCAGAGCCTTCCAGAGCGCAGCGCATTCACCTATCTGACACGGACTGACAACTGCACAAGAAAACAACGGAAGGACAGAAGGTGAACGGTACCAAATGATACCAAGCAGAGCACGTCGGCATTGGCGATGCACTCCAGCGGCTTCCTGCATGGAATCCAAAGCGAAAGCATACCAGGTGTGCGGTGGCAGATGGTGGCAGATTGCGGAGTGAGCTGATGCCACTGTGCCCAAGATCCCAAGAACAATCTCAATGCTAAGTGCATGATAGTGCATGATCGTGCATGGTGGCACAAACTGTCCGAGTCTAGGTGGCTGAGCGGCGGCTAAGTCTCTAGTTGGTGTCTCTAATTCTCTCGTGTCTCCTTGTCGCCACCGGCCGCGAGGGGATGCCGGCAGCGCAGAACAAAGTCCTGAAGGGCTCTTTTGGGCTCTTTTGCAACACACTTTGCCACGAGGGGTTTTGCTCATGCCACGAGCTGCGTCACAAAACCAGCCGGGGAAGCTCTTCCACGAGGTCAACCTGGCAAGGCATTCAGCCGTCTAGCCACTTGTTGCCAGTAGTAGTGACAAACTCGTTTTAATTTTCTCAACATGCAGGTCCCACACCCCAGGTTTTCAGATTCGTGGAATACACCGGGCCACCACCTGAAGCGATCACAGATTCCTCGTTGCAGCTGCGGTTCTCTGTTTCACAAATATTCTCTGCAACTCATGGCTTGACGGTGTCCTACTGAGCTCTATCCTGCTGACGGACACAGCCATCAAATATGTTTGAGGAAGGAAGGATGTCAGGCGAGAGTACTCGTTGCTTGACAACCACATCCATCCCCATCGCAGGTGCGCTCCGAAACCATCACCGGGACGCCTCCATGACGGGTTCATGTAAGGGAAGTAGCTCAATGCAGGGCCAAGAGCAAAGCCAACCAAAATCTGGCGAGCCGTCCAGCAAGAAAGGTCACAACCAAAAGCCCCCGAGCTCTGCTGGAAGACCTCCCCGAGGCAACAAGAATCGAGTGGGCAGGACAAGGTACAAGCAAAGGTCCAGCTCCTTGCCGCAGTCAAAGTGACGCGAGAAGAGGGCAACTGTGGAGGGACGACGGGACACAGCAGAACAACCATGGGACAATGGAGGGCAGAACTTGAGCCCAATGCACAAACGACATGTCAATTTCGAGCTGCAGTGATATGGCGCGGCGGCAAGGCTTCGACATCTCACCACACCTCCAAGACGCGCTGTATAGCTGTATAGACGCACCCGTCCTTACAGGAGCAAGGACTCCGCGGCCAATGAGCGAATGATCCCCCAAATAGTCGCCGGGAGTGCAAGTCTGAGCAACTGGAATGCAGCAGAAACCCACTAAAAAATTATTTGACTTCGAACATCCCCACCTTAGGGATTTGGATTGGGGTTGGGCATTTCAGGGAGTCTCTGGGGTTGGGCACTCCAGGGACACTCTGGGGTTGGGCACTCCAGGAGTCTCTGGGTTGGGCACTCCAGGGAGGGCACTGCAGGGAGTCTCTGGGGTTGACATCAGCAGGGGCTTCGCGCTGTGCCCGCCGGGACATGTCGAGCCGTTTTTTCTCTGCATGAACCGATGGACATTATAACCCTTCCGCGGACCCTTCCGCGGCCTTCCGCGGCGTGTTCCGCATTCCGTCCGCGAGCCTTCCGCGGAAAAACGCGATTCCACCTTCACACCCGGCCCGAAACAGAAATGAGTGTATACTGTGTATATGAGGATGAGGCATGGACTCTAGGCCTCCAAACCGCCCGTCGCCTTCCGCGGAGCTTCCGCAACCCTTCCACGGGCCTTCCGCGCAGATCCGCTCTCCGAAACGGTTGCCGGCATGTTGGGCATCCATTATATCTAAGTTTCAAGCACCGCCCTTCCGCGAGCCTTCCGCGGACCCTTCCGCGACCTTCCGCGGAATCTTGTTCACCTCTTCACCCCTTCCGCGGACAATAATAGTGTCCGCTGCAAAGTACCTATGCTCGAGCGCCTAAAAAGAACGCAGCTCGCCAATGTGGGAGCAATTTGGTATGAAAGATCCGGGAAATACTAGCTGGATCAGGCCTAGTGTGGGGTGGGTTTCCTGATGCAGGCATATGGGTCATATGCAACTCGAGGAAGAGAAGATGGAGTGAGGAAAAAGGAGGGAATAATGAAGGGGAGCACCGCAAGCCACGCTGTGGGTCCACGTGCGCAGGATGTGCGCAACATGGAGCGGAGAATAGCGGAGAACACAGTGAACAGAATGAACGGAGTGAACTATGCTCTCAACGGGCATCCAAGTGCCAAGAGGGAGGCAGTTGGAGAAGACCCGAAGGAACGCACACTGGCACACCGTCGCCCTTGAAACAGGGGGAGCGGCAAAAGGGTGCTCACCTAGCAGGTGCTTTCTGGGTACCCAGACCAAAGGTGCCACCCTGTAGAGAACCGCAAGGCCTAGGGGCCACATGTGTGAGGTCAAGTCACTTATACCTTCCGTCGCCAATCGCTATATGATATATAGCACAAGGTACGACAAGCCAGTATGCGAAAACGCTTGCCGAAGGAAACGATCCTTTGTCTTTAGCATCTCTTTGTAGTTTGTGGCACAAAGGCACGATGGCCAGTACTAGTAAATTGTTCTGCCCCAGGCCCGCCACCCATCCGGGCATTCACCTGAACGGTGACAGACAGAAACAATCAAGCGAGCGAATGACACGTGATGACAGCGATTGGGAACCTGCATTTGCTAACAGCATGAGTAGCACCAGTACCTCGATGAGCTGGGCTCCATGTTGGCTGGTGTATTTCAGCTCAACATGAAAGATGCCATCCTCCAAACATTGCATTGTGAGAAATTCCAGAAATTCTTAATTCTGTGTTCTTTGCTCTCCGCTGCAAGTCTCCTGGAAGCCAAGTGCCTGCAACACATTGGAACACGGCAGAGAAGCACAGAATGCATTGCTGCCACTGCCCGAATGTCTCATGTCTGCCTTGACACTGCTCACGGCCAGCTCCCGCAGCGCAAGCTGCTTGTCACGAGGCCTCGTACGTTTCTTAACAAAGTCAGCCGCCGTAGCAAATGGTGGAAACAAGAATGATACGAACCATTGCGAACGTCTCCTTAGGAGATTCCCTGCAAAGTTTCGCTGAACTTTCACAGGTTCGCAGAAGAGCCAGAGGATGAAAATGTCATGGGATGACGACGCCGATCTACCGCCGAAGTAGGGATTCACTGTTTGGTATCACCACCCCTTAACACAAACACCGCCGTTATAGCCTTGGGGCATTGGCGAGTTTTGATGTTTCGGGGGGGGGGGGGGGGGGTGGATGTGTTGCAACGATGGCATCAAGAACCGAGTCCAAAAACAAGGCAACCAACAAGCAATACATCAAATACCGCCACAAAGCAGCTTCGTAGGGATCATCTTGAATTGGGCACTGCCAGGATGTTCCGCGGTAGTTTTTTGGGATTGGGCACTCCATATACTCCATGTGATAATCAGAATGCAGGATACTCTGGTGGGCATTGGTGGGAACTTCAACTGTGCTCTGTGGGATTGGATGCTTTGGATTTGGGTGCTGGAAATTGGAATACTCCGCGGGGCTGCCGGATCTCTCTGGGGGGGACTCCACGCCTCTCCAAGGATTCTCCGCGGGAATTTTCTGAGGGTGGACTCCAGGGATACTCGATAAAAAATCAACTTCACCAAGATCAAGGCAATATGACGGTCCTTAGATGCCGTCAACACCCATCCTTCGAATTAAATTCCCCTGAAGCCTTCAGTACCCATGCTGTGTATGAAAAGCACGAGAAAATCAAAGATTGCCTCGCACATGTCGTCAACTCCATGCAATCAATGAGATTCCACAAGGGGGAACTTCATCTTAGATGCCTTCAACGCCCATGCTTCTAAATCTTGACCTTGTGCGGGCTGCAGAGCGTACATATCCGTCAGGATCAGGGAAAATTTCTAGGTGCGAGCTCGCCCGGACACACGTCTTCGAGTTGGTGGGGGCTCACACTTTCGGCACCAAAAAGGCATCGGTTCAGAGAGCATACATGTCAAGCAGGACTCGGGACGTACGCTTGCTTTGCGAGGGTGCTCGCACTTCGGGCACGTGTCAAGCAGGATCGGTGTGAATTCTCTTGTTTCGACGGCAGCTCGCGTTGGGCACAAACACGCCACGCGTGACAGAACAGTGCACAAAGCGCTTGCGATTGCCCCATGCCGCAATACATTACACTGACGCATGCTAAGGAGCCGGCAGTAGAGATGGGGAGACCGCCCACGTCTCGTTGAAGTATGGCTCTAACCTCCCACGTGGTCGCGGCATCGCTACAAATTGCCAGACTGGTGACGCAGTTTGCAACTTGCACCCTCTACAAGGCGCAGGCGTGGGGCCGTTGTCTGACACAGCAGCATACTGCCATTCACCGTCCGACATGACGACATCCACATCAACCTGCACAGGTGTCTCTGCTTGGGTTCATCGTGGTCCAATCGTCAATGCAGACATGTAAGATATGTAAGAAGAGAGCCTCTTCCCCATCAAGATAGCTTTCCAGCACAAAGCGGGCGCCAATCACGGCACTTGCCCCTACAGCTGCACCTGCGACGAAACGGGCGTAGCTCAGGGCTGAAATTCTTCCACCGTGCATCGTCCACCCGGCACTGGCCTTGCTGTCCATCATCCTGCGAGTGTATGAGAACAATCTTGGCATACCCAGCGCAGCGGCTTCATGACTTGAGATGAATTCCTCCCCTTTTTGCTTCGCAGCCCGGCACGCGATTGTCACTCAAAAAACTGAAGGGGTGCGTGCGTGTGTGTGCGATATGTGCCACGCTTTCGCCCCAGCATAGCGGCTTGGCTCTTGTCATGTTGCGCCTTCTGACACTAGGCCCACGATGGCCCATGGCCGGTGGGCCGTAGGGGGGGCAACTCCACTGGAGCCGAGGATCGAAATCCCTGAGCAGACTGATAGGGATCTGGTCGGTTCCGCGACGTTCGTCCATGGCTTTGAGACCACCATGACCACCTAACTGGGGCACTCCAAGCATACCGAGATGATTGCGAGATAACTCCGCATCCAAAGGCATCCGGCACTGTAGCCTTTGCCTTCTTGCTGCCTTCATGAGTTACTTCATGTACTCGAGCGAGGCGTTCGTTGTAGAACATAGCAGTCGTAAGAGAGATTCTCACAGTCGATGCCACCCATGGCTCCGTCGATCTGGAACCGTTTGCTCACGAAACCTGGGTTTCAAGGGTGGGGCATACTCGTGATAGCCCTTTCCCCCCGTGATGTGCCCAGGTGCTGTTGCCAGGCGCGTTCTGCTCATCAGAAATCAACCTGAGAGCAGAAGGACACGACACAACATCGGTGTCGTGAGAATGTTCAGAGGATAGAGGGTCAAGAGAAGCCTATGACATCCCGTCATGCAACCACTTCAGGCAAGCATCAATTGCTGGAATTCCTCCGCGCCGAAGCCTTGGCGACAGACGTGAACGGTTGCGCATCACTTGCCGTAAATGGAGGACATTGCAGCTTCCAGCCGAAGAACGGTGGTAGGAAGCTGCATTCACAATGATGGCAACTCCCCCTGGCTGCAAGAAGCGACAAACCACATCCAAGACGGCTGGCGCCATCCATCGTTCGTGGATGATCTCAGAAGCGAGGATCACCTGAACCAAAGTACAGCCAACGCCAAGCAGGGCCAAGGACTAGATGACAATAGTCCCTTTTGCAATCGATTCATACATTCATATGCATTCACTGGATGCTCGAGTGTGGCCTGGAAGGAAGGTACGATGCTGGGCAAAGCACACCAGTCAAGTCGAAGGACTGAGATTTCGTTGAGACCTGCAGGACAGGTTCAGCGAGGTTCTCAAAGCAAAGGCACTTGCGGAGCAACCCAACCCTTGCCCCATTGCTCTAAGCTACAAGCCATTCGACATTTGGGTCAACTCGTCGAAGTCCCCGGCACTTGCGATGCTTCGCCCAATCAGGACTTCGGCCAAGTTCTTCCGCAGCTGATGAAGAGCCACTGGATCCACATCAGTCGCAACGACTGCTCGAGCTTCTGCCAGCAGTGCGGCCATTGATGGGAGTCCATGATACCCTGCTCCAATCTCCAGCACGCTTTTGCTGGAAACCAGTTCTGGGCAGCTCAACACCAGCTTGGCCAACAGCTGTGATCCCGGATACCTTGCGACGGTGACAGCAGAAGACTGGAAAGCAGGGCGGACGAAAGCTAGGTCCTCGCTGCACCCCTAGATGGGCTCTCTGTATGTCCGGCTCCCAACAAATATTAAAGTGGGGGGAGGGAGGCGGCCCCCCCCCACCCCCGACCTTAAATCCCTGAGATATCAGGGATTAAGGCCACCAAGTCCTCTTTGCCCAAAAACAAGAAAGTCCTAAACAAAAACTCCCGCAAGCTCCAAAGGAGCTGGCTTTCGTGACTTTTCCGTCCCGTGGTATTTTCATGCTTGACCGAGTCATTGCACCCGGAAGAGCCCAGAAGTATTGAACCCTCACGCTTGGACTCATAGACCAGACCGTATGGACTCCGCAGGGGCTCCACAAACGGATCACAGTGGAGTTTGGCCACGGCAAGGACATGCCAAGGCAACGCTGGAGCTACGGCGCTACGTTTAAGGCAAAGACAACCTTGCTGCTGAGGAACAAAGTGTTAGGAATAGGACTTCGAATCTTCTCCTGCTTTTTGCATCTGTGCAAGGCGCACTGCAAGGTTCTCGGGCACAACAACCTCGGGAAGGCGTTGCAGCCAAGTGAGTGTAAGTTTGTAAGATGATGACACCAAGTGCTTGCTTCGCACCCTGCACAGCAGCAAAGCAACGGACTCGACAAGTCTTCCGCTAGATCCGGGGGGGCTTCGCCTCAAACGAAGAGAAAATGCAACGGAGACGTGCGGAATTCACTTATCTACTCGGCAGATGTTGCGTCGCGGCACGGACAAAAAAGTATCCGCCACGCTCCAACCCATAACTTGGCACGCCCCCCGCCTGCAAACCATCTTCGCATCTCCTCGCAGCTGGCCAAGGACACCTCTAGCACGTCCTCATCGAGCAACATCGTCTCCTCAGTGGCATCGCTCACGAAGGCTGTGTTGGTGCAGGAACCGTCGTGGCCAAGCCACCGTCAGGGTCTCTTTCCCGCAATCCAGCATATCCACCAGCTCACTTGCTTCTTGCTGGACCTCGTCTGCCACATCCTTCAGAGAGAGCCACGAATCCGAATTTGCAACTCACGACATCCTACGACATAGCAACACCGTGAGGCTCCCAATGCAGATTCGCGCGAGTTGCGGTCCTTTGCGCTGAGAAGTTGAAGAAGCCGCTTCTGCAACAAAATTCTCTGGCTGCTGCTGATGCTGCTGGCACCGCGCGAATACGTTGAGTACGCTGTCCTCAGCGCGATCCTTAAGACAGGTAAGACAGTTTGTTTATCGCTGCTCCAATTGGAGCAGCGATGTTGCAGCCTGTTGAGTCGAAGGTAAGTTTCAAGCAATGCTGGCAAGCATGACTCTGTCGGCAGGATCAGGAACTCCTCTCGGACATATGGCGGCGATAAAGACTACAAAGCCTACCCAGCCCCAAACAAATTGAAGACACTGAAAGTCCTTGACAGCATCATCCAGCATGCGGGTCACACTGCGTGTCGCTCAGGAATCTGGGTGAGCTCCACTGTCATCTGCGAAATTATGGACAAGAAGCATCTGGCCTTCGCTAAGTGAAATGCACAGCTGCTAAGTGAAATACACAGCCTTGCCTGAAAGCGCTACAGGACTGACAGGCGTGTCAACGTACAACAGCACAGCAATCTGCAGCATGTTGCTTGAGCCCGGCTTGCGGTACATTCCAGAAAGAAACGGCTAATGCCCTCAATGCCCTCTTCCACTCCTTGATGATGGCGCCGCTGGAAATGACCATGGATCCCAACTCGTGATGTCTCGCCTTGGCACGTCTTTCAACGCAGAGTGCGTTGTTGAACAGCTCTCTTGGTCAACTGACGTTGTATGCCGACCGCAGCTCAAGCTCGTTTTCCACCTGGGGCAAAGTGACTGCGGCTGGTGACTGTGCTTGACACATCTTGATACTCTTCTGCAGTGGCACCTTCTTCACCCCGACGGAGGCGGCACCAGACCTACAAGGAAAGGCTCAGGCATAGACTCCAAAGGACAATTAGGACGCGGATGGACACGGCACAGGATGCACAGGATGCACAGGATGCGCAGGATGCGCAGGATGCAAGAGCGTGGTTCCCTTCTTCTGAGAGTTGGGCACGGGCTTCAGCACGGCCGGGAATCCCACGGTCTGGATGGCCTGGTCGATGTCTTGCTCGGAGATGATCTCGTAGACCGGCGGCGTGGGAAGGCCGTGTTGTGCAAGCGCCTTGCGTGTGAGGAACTTGTCCCGTGCCTGGTCTGTAGATTCTGGTGCTGGCCCGGGGACGCCTAGCGCCTCGGCTAGACGCGCGGTCAGCGGGACGGAGAGCTCTGCAAAGGTCGCCACGCCATCCACTTTGCCAATTTTCGGATCTTTCTCAAGGTTCCGGATGGCCTCGATCAAAAAGTCGAGTACGCGGTCAGAGGACTGGGACATGTCAATTGGTAGGAACTTCACCGCAATACCTTCATCAACAAGCTGGCGGCTCCAGGAGTCAGCACTGTCAAAGAGGACTGAGCGAACACCCAGGGCATGAGCTTTCTCGTAGATGAAACGCTTGCCTTCATAGCCTGTGGTGATGAAGGCAATAGTACTGCCTTTGAGAATTCCACGCCGTAGCTTCTGTCCGGGAAGACCGCGTTCTGTCAGAAGCCGTCGAGGGCACTTGGCAATTCTCTCGTTGGTGGAAGCATACTTCGGCAACTCGGCCAGAGCCTTTTCAACATCAGCGACTGCTCTGTCGCTGCGAGCCTCATGTGGTGGCAGGCTTCCTGGTGAAGCCAAGATCTGTTCAAGCATGAAGCCAGGCTGTGGCGAGTAGCGGGCGCCAGGCGCCTGCCGCCAGCCAATCTCCTGCAGCCTGCGAGGCTGGGCGGTAGCAACAGTCTTGCTGACCAGGTGCTCCACATGCTCAGTCTCGATGTTGAGCTTGATGTCAATGGAATGGGGTGCCTGCAGAGGCTTGGCAGGATCCGGCATTTGCCACGTGCCCCATGGTGCTGCAAAGGATGGTACGGGAGATGCCCAACTGCCAACACGTGGTCTCTCCTTGGACGGCACTTCATCAATATCAGGGGGCAGGCCCCAACTCTGGGGGGAAGTGTCGGGAATGTGCGGCGAGCCATCTGGCATTGCCAACTTCAAAGGCTTCCATGCCCAGCGAAGGCAGCTGAAGCAATCGGCATCAGCCAGATTTTTTGCTTTCCGGTCGACCATGTTCACGTCCCAGGCACCTCGTGCCAGCTACTGAGTGAGGCTTGATCCTGAACTTATGCCATGAATTGCTGACGTTTGCTGACTCGTGTGGACTGCCACTGACAATGAACTTCACACGTTCACTCTGTGAGCTCTCGTCGTTCATTTGCCAACCCAACTTTTTTTTCGACTCCAACTATCTTGCGGCGGCTTTATCCTTCTCAACGGCGGGCTGCGATCTTGGATACAGCGGGGCCAGATGGGGCACGTGAAAGGAAGCAACAAATGGGACTTAATGGGACATAGCCGGATCCCGTATGCAGACTGGTCGCAGGAAGGAGGCCCAGCTGTGGTCCGAGCTGATCGCAGGAGACTGTGCACTCTGGACCTTCGGAAGGTCGAATGGAACGGAAATGCAGAAGAAGGGACAGAATGATACCGAGCAATACCGAGCTCAGGTTTGCAACACACGTAACAGGCTGCATCAATGTGCATCAGGCATGTGCCTCCGAAAACAAAAGGCGTGTCACGATACCGCTTACAGCCAATACTTGCATGCTACGAAGTGGACTAGTTCGCACATGCGGAAAGCACGGGCAGGACCATGTTTCCAGCATGGCAAAGACTGGATAAATAAGTACCAAGCAATAACCGTCACAACCAGCCCGACGCACCCATCCACCACAGTCGCACGAAATGCGTAAAAAGCTCTGGCTAGGCAGGAAAGCAAGAACTGCACGCCTCGCAATATGCGCTACAGTCCCACTGCGGACCATGCTTGCTGTGCTCGAAAGCGCACCGCATCAAGGGCTGAGGAGTTGGCAGCGCTGTCCTTTGGTGTGGCTGACCTTGCTGTATCAGAAGGTATGCCTAGCGGCCTGGCAAGCTTGGAAGTTTGTTTAATGAACACCATGTACCTGCCGAGCTGCTGCCGGCTTCCACCGGAAGCAAACACTGCCTGCTCGCGCTTCCTCACGGCACTCCAGGCTGCGCAGGAATGATCAACCGTGGGGCAGGTCTGTGACACAGTAGCACATATGCTGTGGGATACGGGCGGGATACGTTGTGATGCGGAGGGTTACTGCGGCCCCCCCACCCCCCCTCCAAGACCACAGGTTTTGTCGTTATTTCTGTTCGAGCTCAGCATTTGAATTTATCCAGTTTCCAGATTCCAGATTTGCCAGGGCCAAGTTTTCCAGGCCTCCAGGTTCCAGATTCTAGATTTCCATGCACGGGCCAAGTGCAAGAGCCGCGCCCTGGCCCTGGCCCTGGCCCTGGCCCTGGCCCTGGCCCTGGCCCTGGCCCTAGCCCTGGCCCTGGCCCTGGCCCTGAACATTGGGCCCCGCAAATCTGGAAATCTAGAATCCTGAATCTGGCCCTTGCAAGTCTGGAAATCCGGAATCTGTGGCTTTCGGTAGTTTAATAAATGGTTTCATTGAGGGTCATTTAACTTTTCATGTAGTATCATGTAGTTCAAGTAGTTAAAGTACTCAACTCGCTAAATTAAGCAGATGGCTGTAATTCGATGCATAGTGCAAGTCAGGATCCATGAAATCATTACATTAGTGAAAGTAATTAAATACTTTTCAGGTCCTGAAACTAAAGTTTGAAAAACTATAGACCCTGAATAAAAGAACCATTCTTTTAAGTATATACCAATCAGGACCCATAATTAAGCTAATTTAAACTTAATTAGTCTAATGGACCCTTGGTTTTGAAACAATACAGCACTTCAATTTTTCTGAATGAGCTAACAGTACACACCAAATGTCCCAGACAAAGCCTGCCGCTACTTGTGAGGAAAGCAATTGCGTTCGGAAGGCCGGTTTTGAGAATTCATTGGTGTAATCAGTTCAATTCACTTAACTTCAATTGAATGCCAATTAGATGATCTGAAATCAAATTCAGGGCCTACAATTAGGTAAGCTATTTTCAATCCTTCCTCATTCAGTTTGATGGGCCCTTAATTTACTTAGAAGATACTTGCATTGCGTAGATTTTTTGGATTAGCTAAAGAATTGCGCTCAAAATCTGTCTTGAGAATTCAATAGCATAATTCGTCTATCAACTCGACTAATCTAATTGGCACCTAGATAATTATCGAACTCGAAATTGAGTATTCATGTCAGCTCAGGTCGGTTAAGCTTTTTGAAAGTTTCATTATGCTTAGTTCCTGAAACTAGGGCTTTACATAGTTGAACTGGCCTTGCATTAAAAACTAAACCATCTTATAAAAAAAAAATCTTCGAACATCCCCACCCTCTCTTGGTAGGTTCCTCCCGGGACACTTTGGGGTTGGGCACTCCAGGGAAAATTTAGGGAGATTCTGGGGCTGAGCACTGGGGTTGGGCACTCGAACGAGACTCTGGGTTGTCCAGGACAACTCTGGCGTTGGGGACACTGTGGGGTTAGGCAGACTCTGGGGTTGGGCACTCCAGGAGGCTTTGGGGCTGGGACTGCGGGAACACTGTGGGGTTGGCACTGGGGAGGACACTTTGGGGTTGGGCACTCCAGGGATGAGCGAGGAGTAGACCGGGCGAGGAGAAGAGTTGAGTTTAAAATCTAACAACCCCACACCGAGGGTGGGGAATAATGTGGCATGTGTAGATATTCTCAAACCCGATTTTGGTTCTTTATTTAGTTTCGGTAATTTATTTAAGGACCAGTTATTTTGGCTAAATTACTTCAGCTCTTGGATTTTAACTTTATCAAATTGCGTACTTAGTGGAATGACAAATTAGTAAAACACTTCACTTTAAACAATTAACTAAATGAACCAAAACCCCTCCTTTTTGGATACTGACACGAAATTAACTGATGAGATAAGTTACCTCGAATTATAGCGTTTTTTTAACGAGAAGCAGCCAGGCTTTTTCAACACACTGGGCATGCAGCAGAAGTAAGAGAAAAGGCGACGCTGCGGTGACTTGTATTAATTAGCAATACTCATAAAGACGGATGATCAAACATGAGAAATAAAGCAACAAAAGAAGCCCAACACGCGAGTTTTAGTCATGTCAACACACGGAAATACTGCAAATACCACATAAGGTACTTATCAAGACACACACACACACACACACACACACACACACACACACACACACACACACCCCAACTACCAGAATTCCTGGGGGGGGGTGACCAAATGTATTTTGGGCGTCTTGAACGCCAGAAATGGAGCCCCACTTCACTGGGAGATCTGGGGCTCTCCTGCGTTCCAGCAGGTTTCGAAGCTCGTTGTTTTGACGAGCATCCTGTCGCGAGAGCTCGCGTTCCTCGCCACCAAAGCATGATCGGACTTCAGCTCAGTTCTTGAGACCTTACGAATTCATTAGGCTGGGTCCTTGCTGACCTGGCCCATGAGTTCTTTACGCTGGTGCAGGAGCAACTCGGCGTTGGCTTCCTCGGATTCAGTCGCAGGCAGCGTTATGCAGATCAACGAAACTCACATTTCTCCACTGAGGCGCCATGTCATCATGAAAGGCCTCACAAGCGCAAGAAACCAGCGGGCTTGCATGGAGGGACCGCCAAGTGATTTTGCACCCTTGACCCACTCTGGACTGCGAAACCTATCCTTCTGGCAGCATGGCAAAAGGGGCAAGTGTGGCAATTCGGCAAATCCGCCGGGACGCGAGGCCTGAGGCGGTTGGGGCAATAGAACCCACCTCCTTGATGCCCCTTCCTGGCAGCCCTGCACCGGAAGCCAAGTGTCCTCGGGCCGGGGCCCCGACAGGTGTAGGTGCTAGAGGATCTTGATGGACAATCTCTGGGGCGCCGGTGGACCGTCTGAGGTGGACCCTCTACGGATCCCATGGACCCCATGGCACAGGCAGCTCTGCTCTGCTTGACGGTTCAGGGTCTGAGCACGAGCCGAGGTGGGCCCGTCAGCGTGAATATTCTGCCACCACCAACTGGTCAAGTGGACTACGAACTGCTTCCAACCACTTGCAGACTTGCCCCGTGCACCTTTGCCCGCTTTGCCCCAGCCCTGCTTGCCTCACTCGCATCATCGCCAGATGTCGGAGCATGCAGTGACTGAAACCCCCGAATCTCCTCTGAGAGGACCCCCCGACAGGCGAGCATCAACAGCATGATGCCCTACCAGTAGCCAGTAAAGCCACAAAAGCCGCAGAAGAGATGCCCAAATCGCATAGTGGCTACAAGCCTTCATGGGGGAAAGGCCCCGGAAACGCGCAAAAAATTGACCACGACCACCACCGAGACCCCAAGCCTCTACCCTCACGCTGGTACACGTAATGAAGAGCTTTCGTGATTTGCGGTTTCCATTTCCGTTTGCAATGCAACTCATCGTGAACAGCCACAGGCTTGCTCTTCGCCCCACGTCGCCCCGCCTGGAAGTTGGCATTCATCTGCTCCAGCGCGTGCAGCGTGTGCATCTCATCGTCGAGAGACCGCTGCAAGAAGCCAAGCTCCTCAAGAATAAACCACCAAAGAGACGGAGGTGAACAGATGTAACCAGAGAATTCACCAAGTCAATAGTTCAACAGCAGGAGACCTGCGAACGACGAAATGCTCAGACATCGGAAACTTGAACCCTGGAGATACACATGAAGTCGCATGCAGAGGATGGCCTTTGGGCATGTTCTGGCATGTTGTCAGAGTGCTGTGCTCTCCTCCACCAAATGGTTGCGATCTCTGCGTAACGAAAGGCTCTCCTTCAATGATGGAACGCCATCATGGCTTGGCAGAAAGTGAGAGCTGCAGATCTTGTAGAACAAGGCTTATTTGCCCCAAGGCTCGAGATTCAGTGCCCGGCAATCATCCCTAAGCTCCAGGAGCCTCTGTTGGGCTTCGGCCTCGGAGAACTCCGAAAAGAACAAACTCGCGCCCGCCGAATCACACCGCGCTCCAAGACGAATCACTGCACGCCGACTCTGCGCATCGACATCGGCGCGCCACATGCGCTACATGCGCCACATGCACGCCACCCACACAAGGGAAGCCCCCGGCCACTTTGTGCTGAAGCTGCTGGGCTTCCTCGGCCAGCCGATCCTGAGACACTGGGGTAAGCCTTACACGGCTTACAAGGCTTGCAGCTTGCAGCTTACAGCTTGACAGTAAGGCTACGCCGTGTTTACTGCCAGGTGGCATTGGCCTGTGAGTCTTGCCTGTACTGATTTTCGACCTGCGAGTCAGACTCACAGAGATCGCGCCGCTGCGCCGCTCCAGGGTGCACCAGGGTTCACCTGGAGCGTGGTCTCTTCAAGCCGCGCCAGCTCCTTCCATCTCAGTGATTTAGGTACGCAAAGATACGAGGGAAAGGAACCACACAAGAAGATCTCCACTCCTTTTCCAACATGGCCATTTCTTCACTGATCTGTTGGCAGACTTCCTTATCGGCCGACAGGACCTGACGAGGCAAAGCCGCTGGCAAGGCCCTGGCAAGCGCTCAGAATGCTCAGAGATTGAGCTCTGGTTGTGGTCCGCTGGCGCCTGGCCTTCTGAAACCGGCGCGATAGTTCACGCAGCGTGTGCTCAGTTTGCTCCCGCTCATCCTGCTCCGGACCGAAGCCTTGGTGGCACATCGTGGCCTTGCTCCGTGCATCCCCCCCTTACCTTCTACATCTTCTACCTCTAATACTATGCCCTGTGCCAGCAGATCCACCAGTCATTTGCTCCGTACCTGGCACAAGATGCAGCTGGGAGCGCCGGCTTTCACACGATGGCACTACATGCATCGCAGCGGCTGAAATCGAATGGTGCAGCGAATCCCATGGCTGAGAAGTACTCCTTGAGCTGATGTGTAGACTCAGCGTAGACATACAGAGGTGCGACGGCTGTGCAAATGCGCAGAAATTTGGAAAAGCTCTTGTTGGAACCTTTGTTTCCCCTGTACCGGCAGCTCCACATGCAAGCTTCCAAGAGGTCAATGGCCGCATGGCTCATCATGTGTCCAGCGGAAGCGAAGATTTACAAGACGCAACGCCCTCAGCATAACAAGACACGCGCATAAGAATCACAAGCAAAGCTTTTCCCAGCGAGGTGGCAGGCATGCGTTGATTCTAACACAGCCTACATCGTCAGGGAAACATTGCTGGGGATCAGGCTCTGCTTAACATGCCTTGAAACATATTGTGATCTTCATGAAACATATTGTGACCTTCATGCTCGGAGCTAGAGTCTCGGTAGTTGCGCAGTCGGCACGTCCATGCTTTGGAAAATGCTGGCACGCAATGCGTTTGCAAAGGCGCGAGCAGTGCACAAGCAGCCGGGCCAAGGCATCGTCAGCCTCGGCCCATCCAGCAAAGTTTCTTCTTGTCAACCATTTCCTGAGATCACATTTGCAAGCTCGATTTCCGTCAAAACACCACCATTTGACGCCATTCTACTGTCAAAACACAGGGGTTCTTTTGCTTTGCATCACCCCAGCATCATTCTGGGCAAGGCTTGTCGTTGGGTAGTTGCCACCCAATATGTCGAAGGTTCCCACACCTGCCAGGTCATCATGTTTGTGCCTACTGCCTACAACTCAAGTGCTGCGACTGAGCACGACAAGCTTTGGCAAGGGACATGTTCCCCCTCTGGCCTATGTCAAAGTAGTACCGCATGTGGGCCAGGTCTTTGTGATTCTGCCTGGCTCCCGTTAAGGCGGAGTTGGAATCTTGAAGGAGGCCTGCTCCTAAGGCCCCTAAGGCCCTAAGGCCCTAAGACCCTAAGGCCCTAAGGCCCTCACAACCAACTCCTGGCTTTGGCATCTTGTAGCTGCACGATCCATTCCTGCCGAAGGTCATTCATGGTCGTTCAACAAGCGAGTCGGAGCTAGATTGTAGACCAGCAGCCTTGTAGTTGTCATTGTCAAGGAACCGACATGCGCGCCGGTAAGCACATTTAATGGTCCTCTCAGCGCGCAGATGCATGTCACCCATGTCTGCACATTCCTACCACCCCTTTTGAAAAACAAGCTTGAGCCCCAGGCATTTCATCGTCCGCGCTCATGTGGTTCCTGGCATGAGCAATGTTGCATCCCAACCACCCAGTCTGGAATAAGCCACCTGGCATCGCCGAAGCGAGGTGTTTCCTCAACTGTTTCGCACATCTTCCTTGGTGCTCGAGCATGAGCAGGCTACAACTCTTTTGCTTTTCCGAAAACTGAGGTCTGCTCCTTATGTCAGCCGGCATTGCCGTTCGAGTCCCGTGATCCTCACCTTTGGTAGATGAAGCCACTGTGCAGTCCATCGAGGAATGGTTTCTGAGGGCAACGCCAAGGAAGTTCTCAGGAATCACACCTGTCACCTGGAGCAATGACAACTCACACCAGGTTCACGATGCTGAAGCGCTACCACATCTTTTCCAACATCGTTGCTGATCATGGCAGACACTTTCACACACGACTGTCCAGTTGACAAGCAGTTGGACAGCGTTTTCTTGCCCAGGAAAAAGAGCCAATCTCGAAGCAGCTTCCGTCTTACACTGTCCAACTGCTCGTCACTTGGACAGTTGTGCGCGACAGTGTCTGCCATCATCGGAAAGGATGATGGAAAGGATGTGTAACATACATCTGATCTTGAACATGCCACAGAGCCGATGAAGGTTTTGTGCATGTGTGGAGATGCAACCTGGTTGATCCTGCCAGTAGTTATATTATGCTTGTCTCAAAGATTACGCCCACGCATGTTTCAGCAAAAAGCTGCTACATGGCGAAACTGCTAATGGCGCAGAAAAGCAGTTATGACTTACTTGATGGTCACTGGTGCATGGAGAAGTTGCGGTAGTTCCAGAACTACTACATGCACCAGGATTCTCTCGGTGTATCCAGGCACGTCGTCCTCCTCCATTCTTGCCATTTTTCGATCTGCCGCGCCGACTTCTCCATTACAATCTCCGTGTACGGGGCCTTCTTGCGCTGGCATTCGCGGAGATGGACCCTACCGGACCCTACCCATGGTCGCGGCCGTGGTCTCCGCGGTCGCCATGGTCGCCGTGGCCGCCGTGGTCCGTGGCATGTTCAACATATCCAAAACAATTCCCTGACGAAACCTCCGCTAAAGATGGCAAAGACTCCTGGTGCTTCTTTGCACACTCCATCCCAACTCCCTCAAGTCCAACGGACTCGCAGGTTGCCCTATTCCGATTTGGTCGTGATTGGGCTACCCATTGCAACAGCGTAAGGTTGTTCTTACGGGCCATGGAATCGTTTGTGGCGGTGTCTTGTGGCGGGTGAGACTGTGCAGGCGTCAAGGTCCTTGTGATTTATTGCCCGATGTCCTGAAAGCAGGAACAAGACCGATGCCTGGGATTTGGGTGGATTTGTTTGTGACCGCAATGACAATGAATTCCCCAGCTGCGTATTTTCTCGCATACGCAGGTGTCATAGCGCTGTTCTGCGGTCGATCTCCAGTCCCTTGCAGTGGTGCCATTTGAGGTACCCGGTACCCTTGCATAGCTCTGACGTCAATGCGACATACCAAACATGTTGAATCGCGAACCCGATCCCCCAGCCCATGTGCAATTTCATGAATGATAGTCAAACAATGACAGTGCAGCTACACCAGTTGATCAGATAGGATTTCCTATGACTGCTGTGGCTTTGTTGAATGCTGGCAGAGTTGTCCCGCAAACACGCCACACTCCCCTGCTGCCGAAAATCTCACACGCTTGCAGCATGCATGATTTGAGTGCGCGTGTGTGTGTGTGTGTGTGTGTGTTCACTTCCTCTTCCGTGCTTAGGAACCTGCTGCCATCATGTATGTTCTCAGTGCAGGCGGCCAATGAGCCTTGCAGTATGCCCTGGCTAACAAAGACCATGCCGCAAGGTGGTGATATGACTGATATGACTCTGGGACTCCAGAGTTCTGTCCCTGCTTTCAATCTACATGTTCATTTGATTTATGTGATGTTTTGGCAAACCGTGCATCATCTTTGTTTCCTAATGCGTTTAGAAGTCATGAGCATCCAGGGAATTAAATCATCCCAGCCAAGACTTTCGTCTTTCAAGATCAAGAAAACAAAGGCTACAAGGAGACTACAGCAGACCCTTGGTCTCAGCGAAAACGTGCAGGATTTAAACGCGATGAGAAGGTGTGACCCCGCTGGACCTATGTTCCAAGATGGTCCAGATGGTTCATGCACACACACACAAACCATCAACTGATCCAAAGATCTTTCAGCGCTGGCCGCCTGTAAATTCATTTCCGTCCTCAAGAAGCGGACACAGCGCCTGTGAGACAGAGAGACTTCTGACAGTGAAATGCCAAGTGCTAGTAGATGTACAGCAAAAGCACTGAAGTACCAGAAAACAGATGATGGCCTGACTCCTTCCCATTGAAACATGGATCGCTTATCTTGAATATTCATCACCTGCGCTTCAGATGCAGGAGTGTATCGTTTGAGCCGTTTTCTCGTTTGGGTTTGGCCTTGTTTCCATAGGTATGGCCCACGTTCAGCAAATTCACCACCACCTTGCTCCTTGGGACCGACACCCTCTCGAGATGACCTGGGCCTCGGAGCCTGTAAGTCCCCAGCATGTTCCATGACCGACCAAAGCAGTCTACGTGTTGATGCCTCACGTGGCTTTCGGCGGAAGCTCAACACAAGCCAACATGCGCGACGTCTGGGCTGCGAGACTGCATCTCACTGCCGCCACTACCTCGCCCTGGGTCAAAGTCTCCTGCATTCCTTGCATCGTCATGCCAGCCCCGGCTCTAGAATGAGAGCTTGCGTGCAGAAGGTGCCAATTGCCTCGGCGTCTTCTTGGCCCTCCACGATTGACCGTCTGCTTGATGCGCAGATGTCTGAGAGTCCGGAACACTTGGACAAGCATAGCTGTTGGGACCAGTGAGCCCAGTGAGCCCTTCGCCTGATAACTGACACTTGGGTGCTTCACCGGCTTCACCTGCAAAATCAAAACAGTGTGAAAAACGGTGCGAAAAGAGAGTAAACGCAGTAGCTGTAGCAAATTCCCACGAGCCGAATTCGACCTCCGGCCTTTGGCCAGGTTGTCTTGGCAAGCTTTGCACTTCGAACACTGGGCGCCCCTGACCATGTGATCGAAGCTACATACACGTTCCTGTCCATCACCCCGCTCCCTGCAAGCAACTGCAGACAACTGCAACCCAGATGCCAGCGTGATGGTTCCTGACATGGCTCCCGTGGACTTGGATCTTGGATGCACGGTGCGCATCACCCCGAACCCCGGCGCTCCTTGTGCCGTCCGCATCCTGCCATCTCAAATCATCTCAACTCCCACCAGTATCCCAACGGTGGCCTATCTGCGCACTCCTGCTGCTTCCCCATTGCCCTTCACGTTGCCTCGTGTCCTTTACGCTTCTTTGACGTCTTGGCTTTGTTGCGAGTTGATGCCTCAGGTAAGGCACATCTTGGGATGGGCCCTCAGCTGTCAGACTTTCCTTGCAGACCAGGGTCTGTGAACTGTGTCGTCCAGCCATCCTCCTCACAGCTAGCATTGTTTGTAGTGCCAACATTGGCATTGCACTTTTGCAAGTGAGCGTCGTTGTTTGTATCTTGAGAGGGTGCCAGAGGCATCACATCCTCAAAGCAGGACTGGCTGCTTGGCGCAGAGTGGCAAGACTCTCAGCTTTCGGCCTTCACAATTGTTTTCAGCTTCGGCTGCACTTGTGGCTGCACTTTCGGCTGCACGTCCTTAGGCCGAACCTGCAAGGAGCCATCACACGGTCACACGCTGCCACTCCACGCCACCGTGAGATGCAGTCTCGGCCATGATCCGCCTGTGGGGCAAAGGCCTTCCAAGCTCGAGGTCGTGCCTGGCAATCGCAGAAACATGTGCAGATACAACGAGAAAGAAACTGAAACTGTGAGCTTTTGGTGTGCTTGAGAGACCTCTGCCGTTCTGTGCATGGCTGGCCGCGCCAAAATTTTCGGCTTGGCTTCCAGAAGAACGGTACCCTGACAGCGTTTTCTTTGCAGCTCATGCCCATAATGTTTGTGAGCTTGGTGACCTTGTGCTGCTCTGCAGCCATGCTCACGTTCTCCGCTGCCTCTTCTTCTGCATCCTGGATCGTGGTCAAAGGCGTTCCGGCATTCCAGCAAATTGGATGCAATCAAAACCTTTGCGAAGACGCTAGCGCCTCTTAACGCGTTAACATCGGACCCTTCAGCTTACGGCTCTTGGTTCACAGTACCTAGGCGCACCGACTACAGCTCTTGCAGCAGGAGGACGGCAGCGCTCTCCAGCACTGAGGTCTCCATGGTCTCCATGGTCTCCTTTCGATCACAGTCCGCCGAGGCAGCCAATAGTTCGACCCACCGACATCTAGGAGTCCTTACACCTCTGCCCCGCCCTCTTCCCCATAGACTGACACAAGTGAGCCTGTAGCCTGGAGGCCTCCTCCGGAACTTCAATAGTACTATATTTTTAGAACGGGGTATTAATTCGCCTCGGCTTCCTGCCGAGAAGCGTCTGGACAAGCAGACCCGGATCCGGTCTCCTTCCCCCTGAGACCTCCTGAAAAACCCCCCTAGAAGGGCGCCTCCCGGCCGACGTCATCTCCACATACTGCATGCTCTTGAGAGCCGGCCCGGGAGCATTTACAATTACTCCGCTGGCAGGCTGAAAACGCCACTTCTCAACACTCCGCTACTCCGCACGCGTCTTCACTGTCTGCATGCCACATCCAACATGTGCCGTGGGTCGAAACTTTCGGCCCGGGGGTGTAATCCGCCTAATCCACTCGGGATGAGGCAAGTCACCACCCCTCTTCCACATTTTGTGCCTTTTTTTGTGCCCGGTAACTTGCAAGAAACCAAAACCAAAACTTGATGAAGGTTGGGCGTCAGCCACCTGAATGTCCAAGCCTTGATTCGGTTGAGCCAGGTGTTTCAAACTCGTGTCGTTGAGATGATCACGCTCGGCGCTGTGGCTCGGAAACTATCATGTCATCTTGGATGAGCTAGGTCTTAGCACTCTGACCCAGCTCCTGTAGTAATTCATGGACTTTCTGAGAAAAAGGACAAGTGAAACAAGCCTTGGATCGGGCAAAATTCACAGACACATACTTGCCATGGCAATGCACCCAAGTTGGCATCAGCATAGCGTGGCCAAACAACATCATGCACTTTGCTTGAGACGTGCAATGTCGCGGTGAGGAAGACATCAAGCGTCGATATGCCAGCCTACACGCGGCGTCTTGTGCCGGTCCAAA